TTGGCCTGATGGGCCCCATGAAAGCCTAGTGTTCATCTTGAGAGTAATGGGGGAACCAGTGAAGGGATTTAAGGGCTTTTACACACAATCAGATTCGTGACTAGAAAATACCATCACTCTAGCTTCAGGTAGGAGAATGAAATGGAAGGAGACCTGGTGGGTGCAAGGACCACAAAGGAGGCTGGTAGGTGCCCAGAAGAGAAGTGATGGTGGCCTGGCGCATTGGGTAGCGGCGGTCATCATCTCTTCAAGAACCTCACTGTCTTCCTATTGCAGTCTACACTGAACGGCTCGGTGGTAAGCCTAGCATTAAAAACCTATGGTCTACAAGATTCAGACTCTGGGGCACCCATTTGAAAGGACTCAAGGTAACCTGTGTGCATTGATAACCTCCACATCTCAGTGGCAGACTGGAGTTTTAGGTTTTACTTTCCAAAATTTTACCTTCTTCTCCGGGCTCCCATAGGAATTTGAGTGTATACTCCCAATAGAACACTGCCTTTTATTCACTCAATAAATATTTAATGAGCCCCTATTATGTGCCTGGCACTCTCCTAGGGATAGAGCCCTAAAACAAAACAGACAAAAATCTCTGCCCTCTTGGGTCTTACGTTCCAGTGGAGAGAAGATGGGCCAAAACCAAGTGAACAAATAAAATAATTCCAGAATGTGAAAACTGCCATGAAGCAAACAAAAAGATGGGCAAAAATGAAGACATCTGACAACATCGAACTTTGGACAAGATGTGGCTGAAAAGGATCTCTTCTGGGGTGCCTAGGTGGCTCAGTTGATTAAGCAACCAATTCTTGGTTTCTGCCCAGGTCACGATCTCAGGGTCCTGGCATTGAGTCCCTCCATGGGCTGAGCATGTATCCTGCCTGGGATTCTCTCTCTTCCTCTTCACCCCCCTCAATCCTCCCACGTGCATAAGGGTAGTGCATATGCTCCCTCTCTCTCTTTAAAAAAAAAAAAAAAAAGATTAAAAAAAAGAAAAGGATCTCTTCTGTGCTGCTGGTGAAAAGTTAACTGGTGCAACTGGGAAGTTTGACATCACCTAATAAAAGTTAGCATTCACATGTCCTCAGATGTGGCCATCACAGTTTCCATGATAGACTTCCAGGCACACATTTAGGATTGGTAACAGTAACACTCTTCATAAGAGCAAAACCTGGCAATAATCCAATTGTCCATGGATGGGACAACAGACAGCAAAACTGTAGCATATCCCCACAATGGAAAATGAATCAACCCCACATGCGTGTAATACTTTAGGTGAATCTTAACACTGTAACACTGAGTGAGAAAGTAAATACCAGAATATTACATGCAGCATGATACCTTTTTGACAAAGCTAAAGGCAAGACAATATATTTTTAAGAAACTGTATTTTCAAAAGTAAGAGAAAGGAGAAATTGCAACCCTCACACACAACCCTCACACACTACTACGGTGCAGCAAGTCCACTGAGACAGAAAGTAGACTAATGTGGGGCACCTGGGTGGCTCAGTGGGTTAAGCCTCTGCCTTCAGCTCAGGTCAGGATCTCAGGGTCCTGGGATAGGGCCCCGCATCAAGCTCTCTGCTCAGCGGGGAGCCTGCTTCCTCCTCTCTCTGCCTGCCTCTCTGCCTACTTGTGATCTCTGTCTGTAAAATAAATAAATAAAATGTTAAAAAAAGAAAGAAAGTAGACTAATGTTTGCTTAGAGCTGGGGGTTAGAGTACAGGTAGAGGAGATGGAGGAGAGATGGATAACAAGCACAGAGTTTCTTTGCGGGCTGATGAAAATAGTCTAAAATTGATGGTTGCGCAACTCTGTGTATATACCATTGCATCGCATACTTTGACTGAATAGTATGGTCTGTGAATTATATCTTCATAAATCTGTTAAGAGGTCTTTTTTTAAATTTTAAAGATTTTATGTATTCATTTGAGAGACAGAGACAGCACAAGCAGGGCAGGGGCAGAGGGAGAGGGAGAAGCAGACTCCCCACTGAGCTGGGAGCCCACTCTGGGGCATGACATCTCAGAACCTGGAGATCATGACCTGAGCCTAAGGCAGAAGCTTAACCATCTGAGCCACCCAGGGGCCCCATGCTCCCCCTCCCCCCACTTTTTTTAATGTAAAGGAAGTTTACATTACCTCAAGCAAGGGAAGGGAGGAGAAGGGTTGGGAAAGGAGTTCATAGAAGGTTGGTTACTGTCAATGTTTCAGTTCTTGTGTTGGTTGCTGATTTAACTGTTTTCTTTTTTATTTTTTAAAGTTTTTTTTTTAAGATTTTATTTATTTATTTGACAGACAGAGATCACAAGTAGGCAGAGAGGCTGGCAGAGAGAGAGAGAGAGAGGAGGAAGCAGGCTCCCCACTGAGCAGAGAGCCTGATGTGGGGCTCCATCTCAGGACCCTGGGATCATGACCTGAGCAAAGGCAGAGGCTTTAAACCACTGAGCCACTCAGGTGCCCCTGTTTTCTTTTTTGAAGACTTTATTTATGTATTTGAGAGAGGGAACACAAGTGGGGGAGGAGCAGAGGGAGATGGAGAGGGACAAGCAGAGCCCCCATCTAGCAAGTAGCGGGATGAGAGGCAGCTTGGTCCCAGGACCCTGAGATCATGACCTGAGCTGAAGACGGATGCTTAGCCCACTGAGCCACCCAGGGACCCCTTAGTTTTTATTATATTATATATAAATAAATACAAACATAAGGTGAGTTAAATATGGAGAGTGATGAAAATGTGCCACAGACAAGCGATTCTGTGCACCTGAGCTGCAGGAGAATAAGTGGGCTACAACAGAGAGCGGTCAGGGCAGACCACTCCGGAGAATCCACCTAAGCTGAGGCTAGAACGAGATGCGTCAGCCATGTGGGGATGGGGTGAAAAATTTTCCAGGCAAAGGAGATAGCATGTACAAAGTCCCTAAGGTGGGCTCAAGCCTTCTGTGTTTGAGAACATACAGGAGGCCAGTCCCTTGAAACCCTTAGAATAATAGCAGCCACGGAAAGGCCAGAATAAACCTTTGAGAGTTCTTAAGCACTGAAAAAATGGCCATGCCTTCATGTCATTTAGAATAAAACGCCATCTTACATGGAAAAAGTGTAAAAGTGTTAGAAAATTCAAAAAAAACCTTTAATTTTCCCATGATTACTTTGGATACCTTCCTTGAAATAAATACATCCACACCCCGCCATTTTTATTATGTTAGTGTCTCTACGTTGTTAGTGCCCAGAGCCCCAGATAACTAATATTTATTGAACATTTACTGGGTATCAGGGACTTGTTCGCAGCCATTATCCCGTTTAACTTGTACAACAACCATATGAGGGAGAAACCGCTTTTTCCCACTTCAAGAAGGAAAGGGAGGCACTTGGATGCGAATACAGTAATTCTGACTCTGGAGGATTGAACGGGCCAAGCTCCTATTCTGAAGGTTCAAACCCGGGGGATCTCCAAATCTCAGCGTTCAGCACATCTGCGGAAGAACCATTTGGTCCGGAGCAGGGCCTTCCCCCTCCGAGCGCCCTGTGCCTTTAAGAGTCGCCCCCTCCCTCCCGCCACGCTCCAATTTCCCTCCCGGGCACCCAAGAGCATCACCCCGCCCCCCGCGTCTGCAGAGCTTCACCTCAGCCCTTGCTCCCCGCCCCACACCCTCCTGCTGGGCTCTGTCCCCACCCGCCCGGTGGTGGGCGAGTTCTGCCTCGAGGCTTTCACCCTCCACCCTCCACCCTCCGCCCCGCACAGTGCCCACTACACCCCAGCGGAATTCCACTTTAGAGACCCTGATCCCGACCCCTCCCAGCTTCTGATTCCCAGGGGCGAGACCTCAGCGCCCCCTCCCATGGCCCAGGCCCATGGCGCCGTGAAGGTGACCTCCCCCGAGGGCTGCACAGGGCCCGCGGTGCCCGAGCCGGCTCACACGTGGTGAGCGGGGAGCGCGCAACCCCTCCCCGCCACGCGCCTCGAGCATGCGTCGCGGACACGCCCCTTGGCCTGGCTCCGCCCCCGTGCCCGCGCACGCTTCTCCAGACTCCGGAGGGACGTCGCGCCCTAGTCCCTCAACCAGCTGGTCGCGGTGTGGAGTGGGACCTGGGATGGGACACTCCCGCATCCTCGAACCTCTCCTGAGGACTGTGAAAAGCAGAAAGTCAGCCCTCCTCGGGACCCTTGGCTGGTAGGCGAGATGCCCCAGCGAGATGCTCTGAGCTGGGAAGAGAGAGCTGGGACCACGAGCCTGGGATTCGAGCCCTATTCGGCTGCCTTCCTTGTTCGGAATCCGGAAAGTGGGAGTCGTATTCCCTTCTTTCTCAGGACTCTTGTGGCGCCTCAAACGAGACTTAAAAAAATATTCATTGGATTTGAGACAAAAATCATTTGTCGAGCCCCTGTGTGGCTGGACCGTGTGTGTACTAGGCAGGGGCTACATTTATGAAACGAGGAGTCTGTCCCCTTGAAGAGCTTTCCCGATCCTGAGTCCTCTACATTCTGTTCTGGGATGGTCCAGAAAGACGCCTCCAAAAGAGGAGGGCGCGGAGGTCCCACCTGGCAGCAGGTGTCACTGAATAAGCTAAAAATTTCAAAGGCAACGTGGGGCGGAACAAGCTTTCGGAGGCAGATGGGAAGGGCGCTCCGCGTTCTCCCACCCTCCTTCCAGTCCCCAGCCTAAGAAAAGAAACCGACCTCATCCAACACCCTCCAACCCAGCCGCGAGACCGCCCCGCCCCGCCGCCCGAGCCCCGCCCCACCCCGGCAGCCAGCGATTGGGAGATGCAAATACCAGCTTCTCTGCCCAGCAACGGGTGACGCGTCGCCGGAGCGCGAGGCGTGGCCCGGCCGCAGCCCAAGCGGGCACCTCGGTGTTTACACGGGGCGGCCCCGCGCGCGCCGCAGCGGCCCGCAGACGGCGAGGGGGAGGAGTGGCGCGCGCGCCGGCGGGGCCGCGCGGGGAGAAAGACACTGGAAGGCGGCGGGGCGGGGAGCGGCGCGCGCGGGCCGCGGCGGAGCAGGAGGCTGCGAGGAGAGCCCGCGGGGGCCGGAGGGTGCGATTCCTCCGCCCCCGCAAAACAATGTGCAGCGTGCGGCAGGGCGCAACTTGCCGGAGGCGGCGGGGGCGCGCCGAGCCCGCCTGAGACCGCGCCGCTGACCTTCTCCCCCCGCCGTCCGTTGGGCCCGAGCACCCAGCTCCTCGCTCCCCAGCTCGCGGGGGCCGGGCCGAGCTGCGGGGCGGGGCCGCCCCTCCGTCGCTGCTGCCTCCTCCCCCACCCCCAGCCGCGGAGGATGCGGACGGCCCCCGGCGGCGTCTAGCGGCCCCGGGCCCAGGCGCGATGGTGCAGCAACGGGGCGCGAGGGCCAAGCGGGACGGCGGGCCGCCGCCCCCGGGGCCCGGGCCGGCCGAGGAGGGGGCGCGCGAACCCGGCTGGTGCAAGACGCCGAGCGGCCACATTAAGAGACCGATGAACGCGTTCATGGTGTGGTCGCAGCACGAGCGGCGGAAGATCATGGACCAGTGGCCCGACATGCACAACGCCGAGATCTCCAAGCGCCTGGGCCGCCGCTGGCAGCTGCTGCAGGACTCGGAGAAGATCCCGTTTGTGCGGGAGGCGGAGCGGCTGCGCCTCAAGCACATGGCGGATTACCCGGACTACAAGTACCGGCCGCGCAAAAAGAGCAAGGGGGCGCCCGCCAAGGCGCGGCCCCGCCCCCCCGGCGGTGGTGGTGGCGGTGGCGGCAGCCGGCTCAAGCCCGGGCCGCAGCTGCCTGGCCGCGGGGGCCGCCGAGCAGCGGGCGGGCCTTTGGGGGGCAGCGCGGCGGCGCCCGAGGACGACGACGAGGACGACGACGAGGAGCTGCTGGAAGTGCGCCTGGTCGAGACCCCCGGGAGGGAGCTGTGGAGGATGGTCCCGGCGGGGCGGGCTGCCCGGGGACCAGCGGAGCGCGCCCAGGGGCCGTCGGGCGAGGGGGCGGCTGTCACCACCGCCTCCCCCACTCCGTCGGAGGACGAGGAGCCGGAGGAAGAGGAGGAGGAGGCGGCGGCTGCGGAGGAAGGCGAAGAGGAGACGGTGGCGTCGGGGGAGGAGCCGCTGGGCTTTCTGTCCAGACTGCCCCCCGGCCCCGCCGGCCTGGACTGCAGCGCCCTGGACCGCGACCCAGACCTGCCGCCCCCCTCGGGCACGTCGCATTTCGAGTTCCCGGACTACTGCACCCCCGAGGTTACCGAGATGATCGCGGGGGATTGGCGCCCGTCTAGCATCGCCGACCTGGTTTTCACCTACTGAGCCCACCGTCAGCGGGGCGCGCACGCCCCCAAACCAGCTGTTTACATACAGGAATCAGGTATTGGGGCCCCTCGGAGGCCGAGGCTGGCACCCCATCTCCCGCGCAGCCTCCCCCCTCCTAGACGTGCCCATCCCCCTCAAATCCAGACATGCCCCTCCCCCGCAGACACACCCCAAGGCAGCCCCACCCCCCCTCTTTCCCTGTCATCCAAGCCCCGCCCCATCTTGCCCCCTCCCGCACAGCCACCAGCAGCCAGCCCCCCTCCTCTACACCGCGCGTCCACGCCTACAGACCTGCACCCCTCCCCCACCTCGCACACGCCCCTCCTCGTGGCCGGAGGACACGCCCCTGCCCTTGCTCCTGAATCCCTCCGCCTTTGCCTAGCCCGCCTCCTCTCTTGTTTAGGGGGGCGCTGCGGCTGGGCGGCACCGCACGCTCCTCCCATGCCCCCCTCCTCTCCCTCGCCAAGCGCCGGGGCCCGCCCCCTTCTCGCGCATGCTTAATGCTTCTTGGGAGGAGGGGGTCAGTCCCAGTTGAACCGCACGCCTCTGTGGCCCGCTTCGGGAAGAATTGGGGCGGGTATTGAACGATCCTGAGAAATCTTTTGATCCGGGAGCCGCGGCTTCCTTTCAACCCGACGGGGCGTCACTGCCTTAATGGGAGGAGCGCTAAGGAAGGGGGAGAAAGAGACTAGCTGGCCCGGAAGGATTTGGTTTGGAGCTTGGAACTCTCCCTGGTGGCATAGCCCCTTTTCCTTGCGGGGTTGCCCAGACTGAGGTGCACCTCCTCCTCCTCCCTCCCCCCCCCCAATCCCCTGCCCATACACACCGCTAGGCTGCCTCTACAGTCTACCTTGGTTCCAGAAACCTCCCTTTTCTTTACCCCACCTGGGAATTGGGAATAGGGTCTTCATCCGGAACTGGACCACGAGAGGACTGCCCAAGAAAACTCCGAACCAAGGCATTTCAGTCTATCTGGGGACAGGGTTCTTGCTGCTCCCCACTCCACCCCCTCCAAGTGCCCCATCAAGTCAAAGGCACACTCGCAGTCTGGGCTCCTCCCTACGCCGACCACTCCTTTCTATCACTCCGAGTCCTGTGCCCACAGTGACAGTATTCAGTGGGAGAAACTGAGGCACGTTGGTACAGGGTGGGGGGTGTTGAGACTGAGGCATGATAGCAGCCGGCGTGGCAAGAAGACCCCCACTTTTAAACAGCTGGCTTGAGAGAGACTAACGACTGGGCCAGTGAGACTGAAAGGAGGGTCAGAGTAGTAGAGGTCCGCCGTTTGCGCGTGTTTTTCCATGTGAAAACTCGGGATAGCGCTGCTGCCTGAGGAGGTTGTGTTCCGTTCCGTTCCGTTCCGGGGTGCCCTCAATGACCCTACCCCTCTTAGTCCTCAAATCCTGCCCCTCCGGCCTCCCCACGCCCCCTTCAGCCCTCACTACCTGTATCTCACCGGCGTGTGTTCACCCTCTTGGGTGTGCACACACTCTCATTCACACACACACAAATCTCAGGAACAAACGGTCCCAGAGTCCTCTCGGACCCCTGCCCAGGGTCTCCGCAGGTCTCTGCCCCACGCGTTCCCGTCGCTGACAAAGCCACCAGCTGCCTCCTTTAAGCTTGGTGCTCCGGCTCTGGGCCTTTCTCGCGCTCTCTGTCTCTCTCTTTCTTTCTCTCTCTCTCTCTTTCTTTTTTTTTTTTTTAAAGAAAAACAACAACAACAAAAAGACAATGAAAAAAACAGAAAACGTCATGTGAGTGAAGAGATGTCACTGTCTGTGGTCTTGGAGAACTAGTCTAGTAGCCGAGGGGAGGGGTCCCTCTGATCTGGGGCACTGGCACCCACAGCAGGACTCCGCCAGTCTGATGCCAGGACTGAATAAAGTGTATTTGCCCCGACCTTGCCCTGTGGTTCTACATGTCTGTGCCTCTCCTCAACCCTCCCCAGACAGTTTGCCAGAGGGAAGTCCATGTGACTTAGCACCGTGCAGGAAGAGCGGGGGTCCTTTGTCTCCCCCTATTTCAGGACTCCCTGGTCTTCATTAAGGATGACAAACTCATCCCTGCAGGGCCAGGCATGTGACACAAGTGACAGAGTCTGGGTAGACATGGGCTTCCTGACCAACCTCAGCGGGGGGCAGCCACTCATCTCAAGCCAGTCGTGACCTTGTGGGAATGCAGCCCACGGTGGCCAGATTGTTCAAGAGAAGGTAGAAATCTGGATGTTTCTATGAACTTCTCAATTGCAAAATGAAAGCTGACTCATAATATTTTTAAAAACAGGTGTGCAGGCATTACCTGGTCCAAGGGGGGCCAGTTTGACCCTGCCCTTAATGAGAAGTAAGAAGGGTCGGGCCACATTGTCTGGGCTCAAAAGCCCGAGTACCACCACCCCTGAACACCTGTGTGACCTTGAGCAAATTTACTTCACCCTGACTCTTTTCATAGGATTAACATGTAAGAACGTTTAACAGTAGCTGCTTCAGGCTAAAATGAAGTTTGAGGTCAGATGTATTTAATAAGATGCTCCGTAAAGTGTATTACTCCATTGTCCAGAGGAGGAAACAGGCTCAGGGTGGCGAAGCAACCTGTAGGAGGGCCTACCAGCAGCCAAGGTCAGAGTTGGGCCCCACATTTTGGTTCTCTCCTTGTGGGTGCTGCCTCTCCTTCCCTGTCCACAGATGGTGTTAGGCTGTCCTCTGGGAGGGGCCCCAGCGGTGGTGGGGTTGGTCCCAGTATCTGGCACATAATTGGCCCGTGGTGTAATTTTATTAAATAACTAAAGAAGAGCAACGGGAACCACAGTGATTCTTGTCCTTGAGATTCTTACCAGCATGTTTTGGAAACAGAGGAAGGCCTTTTAAAAAACTCTTTGTCGTCCCCCCCACCCCCCAGTTCCTCCACTGCCAGTTCCGGTGAATTCCTAAGGTTGAACAGAGCCTGTTTCCCCAAGGAGGAACCAAGGTCAAGTGTACAGACCTCATCCAGAGAGGGTATTTGGGGACTGGGATACCCATAGACAATTGAAAAGAAGACTATAGCAGGTTTGGGAGCGCCGGGTTCCTATAGAAGGGGGTCTGGTTGAGGGAGGTGAAGCTTCTGATTTAAAGCAAGAAGGAAAAAAAAAAAAATCCTCTAGGATAGAATTGAGAAGGTGAGAAAGACAGAACTAGGTGCCACCAGAACCCCCTAGAGGGAGGGACTTGCCCAGCCATGAGAAGTATGGTCAGTGGATAGCCTCCTGCTGCTGAGAGCCCTTTGACCCAGGGCAGCCTGCATCCGGTGTCCCAGGGAGATCAGGTATCTAGACAAATGCCTGGCCATTTTGGTTCAGCGCTGGGGACTGGACAGACACCGACAGGCAGCGCCAGTGCACAACCTCCCCCTGCGGTCACTCACCCAGGGCAGCCGAGGCTCTGCCAGGCCTGCAGTACAGTTTGACCCCCTGTACCCAATCCTGCTTCCTCTTCTTTTCACAGGTGTTTATACCTAATAAATATCTTGCACCCCAGACCCCGTCTCAGCGTCTGTTTTGGGGGAACTCGGACTGCAAGGGAGGGGGTGAGGGGCCCAACAGAGGGAATTGGGTCACTGGCCCTCTACCTGCAGCTGGGCACTTCTGATGCCCCTGACCTCGGGAGGGGTCTCTTCCCTCCTCCACACAGGCCGGCAGCCCCTGCGTTAGGGCTGCTCCCTCTCCAGTGGGCATCAGTGAGAAACTGCAGCCTCTGTCTATCACTGCAGATCCCTCCCCTGGTCAAAGCTGGAGAGAGGAGGGGGGTCAGTCTTTTGCCCTTCGGAGTGCCGTGGAAGGGTAAAGTACCAGGCCAGAGGTAGTCCTAGATCACGGTGGCATCTTGGGTGGTTTCCCCCATATATAAAGTTTGGGAGGGGAAAGTAGGAACGGAATAGTTGAGAGACCATTTATTGTTACTTGGTTCTTTCCATTTCAGAAGGAAATGGATTCTGACCTGGAAAAGGCGGGGAGAGACTTGCTTATGTGGACTCTGGGGACACCTAGAGGCTGAAAGGAATAGGAAGCATTTGAGGGTAGGGGTGGGGTGTGTCCCATTCCAATCTCACTGGGTTCCCGAGGTCATTGACTCATCCCCGTTGGATCCCAGACATGGGCTATTTTTTTTTTTTTTAAGATTTTATTTATTTATTTGACAGAGAGATTACAAGTAGGCAGAGGCAGGCAGAGAGAGAGGAGGAAGCAGGCTCCCTGCTGAGCAGAGAGCCCCATGCTGGTACTGATCATGACCTGAGAGGAAGGCAGAGGCTTTAACCCACTGAGCCATCCAGGCGCTCCTCAGACCTGGGCTATTTGAACCATCTTGTTTCCAAGGCTTTAAGAACCTACCTGTACACTGAGGTGTTGGTTATCTGTAACCGGTAACAAATTGCCACAAATGTATCAGCCTGAAATAACACACATTTATTGTTTCAGTCTCTGTGCCCTGGAAGCAGGCGTGCCTTAGCTGGGTTCTCTGCTCAGGATCTCCCAGGGCTGCATCAAGGTGTTGGCTGGATAGCATTCCATTCTGGAACTCCGAGTCTTCTCCCAAATTCACCTGGTGGCGGGCAGAATTCAGTTCCTTGGGGTCAAGGAACTGTGTTCTTCCCGGCTGTCAGCTGGTGCCACTCTTGAATCCTGAGGGCCACTATCAGTGTCCTATCTTCCCAGGCTCTCTCACAGAGTGGCACCTTAAGCTCTTATTTACTTATTTATTTACTTAGCAGTTTCTATGCCCAGTATGGGGCTGGAACTCCTGAACCCAAGGTCAAGAGTCACATGCTCTAAGCCAGCCAGGTGCCCCAGGGAAGGCTCTCTTTTTAAAGGGCTCACCTGATTAGATCAGGCCCACCCAGGAGGTTCTCCCTTCTAATAAGCTAAGGCTCAACTAATTTGGGACCTTAATCACGTCTGCAAAATCCCTTCACTTTTGCCATATAATGTAACCTAATCACAAGAATGACATCATCCATCATACTCGCTGGTCTCTCCCACCCAGAGGATAGCAGGTTATGCACACCACGGTGGGAGGGGTCGGGGTGGGGGGGAATCTTGGGGCCATCTTAGAACTCTGCTTAACATAGCTGTGGATTCTCAAGTCCATATCTCCATCCTGAAGTTGCCAGACTCTTCTATCTAGCTGCCTCCTCCTCATCTCCACTGGGATGTCCAACTGGCACCTTAAACTTGGCATGCCTAAATATGAATTCTCGTTTCTGCGGTGCTTCCAAGGCTGTTCCCCACTCCACATCTTCCCATCACATGTGACTTAAAGGCCAACAACCTGTTGGTCATCCTTAGCTCCTCTTTTTCCCCATAGCTTCATATCCCTTGTCCCTGTTGGCTCTACTTTCAAAATGTGTCCTCTGCCCTTATCACTTCTCACCCTTTCAATGGCCACCCTCACAGTCTCCCTCAATCTCTTGCCTGGTATCCTGAACCAGCCTCTCACTGGACTCCTTGCTTTCTCCTTTGCCTCAATCACAGTCTTATTATCCACAGCAGCCAGAGGGATCTGGTTAGACTACAAATCAGACTGTCCCACTTCTCAAAACCTTCCACCGGTGCCCATCTCATTCAGACTAAAAGCCAAAGTCTTCAGCATGGCCTGCAAAATCCTATGTAACCTAGCTTGGGGCCCCCCATGGGATTCATCACCTATTGCTTTTTCCTTCCCTTGCCATACCATAGCCACACTGGCTTCCTTGCTGTTTCCTAAAACTACCAAGCACATGCCCACTTCAGCCCTTCTGAACAGCCAGCCCTTTTCCAGTTCAATTTGCTGGAAGTGCTCTTCTCCCAGATACCCACATGGCTTACTCCCTCACTTCTTCAACACTTGGCTCCAATGTCACTACCTCAAAAAGGTCTTCCCTGATCATTCTTGTAAAGTATTACACATAAACCCTTAGGCTATCCCCTTACTTTGCTTTATTTTTCTTAATAGCATTTATCGCTGTGGTATTTATCATATACAGTTTCAATTTTGTATCTCTCCCTCTAATTAGTATATCAGCTTCACAAGGAAGGAATGGCTTCTGGATTGGACTCCTTGCCTTAGCTCATTCAATCACTCCTTCACTCACCCAGTCAACAAATATTTATTAAGGGTCTGCTTTGCCAGGCTCTGTGCTGGGTGCTGGCGTACAAAGGTGAAAAAGACAGACATGGCCTGTCTTCACTGAACTTAACTCCCAAAGAGGAGAAAGACACATCAACAGAGGGATGGAAATGCACTGATGGAGATGGACAGTGGGGCTGGGGGCACACAGACATGGAGCAGGGCATGGTCAGGTCACTTCATGGAGAAGGTGATGTTTAAGCTGTGACCAAGACCTCAGTAGGTTGTTGTGATTTTAGAACATGGCTACAAGTTCTTTGACATTCTTTCCATAAATTTCCTTCCTCTTGAGTCTGGGCTGCCTTCACAATCCACTCATAACCAATAGAATGTAGCAGAAAGATGCTACAGGTTTCTACACTGAGCCACCAAATAAGAAGTCCAACACCCCTAAGATGGTCATGCAATGAAGAAGCCCAAAACAGGTGCAGAGCCTCCCCCATAGGTGCTTCAGGTGATCCAGATCCCTCCTTGGGTGCTGGACTTGTGAGCAGCGGAGTCTCCAGGTGATCCTAGCCCCCAGTCATTCAAGCAGTGTCTTCCCAGCTGGAGTTGAGCCATCATGGAGCAGAGATAAGCCATCCCCTCTTACCCGGTCTGAATTCCTGACCCATAGAGTCCATGGTTGTCCTGAAATTGAGGTTATTCGCACTACTAAGTTTGGGGGCAGTTGGTTATGCAGTGGTTATCACTAGCACAATAAGACTAAGCAGATTCAGATGAAGGGAAAAGCTTTCCAGACACCAGCAATGGCAAGTGAGA